GTGAAATTTTAGTGGTTTGAGATTAGAGTTAAATAGCTGAGATCTCTTTGTGGCTGAAAGGAATTGGTAATACTTTTATCTCTCTAAATACTCTATCTCCCTTCTTGGTTTTCCTTTAGCATGGGATATTTTGTATCATACAGATCTGAAGATTTCTTTTTTGTGCCTTTTATGAGGGTGGAGAGCTTTTAAAGAAAGTGAATAGATGGAATTTTGCAGTGGTTGAATGGCTGAACATGAAGAATATAGTGGAAATATGAAATGAGGAGCAATTCAACATGAGGAACAATTGAAACAAAGGCTTGAGCACTCCTCTAATGAATACTGGAAGTTGCTAGTGAGAATAGCTTGACCAATAACATTATTTTTTGAACCTGGGAAGAAGAATCACATGGACGTGGACATGGATGTGGATATAATAGCTAAGATAAAAATGTGCTTGCCAGGTTGAGCAATCACTGTGTGTGATACCTGAGCTCTCTTCAGTGGAGTGTGAGGGCAGAGCATGCCCTGATGAATGCAAAAATTAGAAATAAAAAATTGCTCTCTCAAGTAGGATGTGATCCATTGCTGTTGGCAAAGAGGTAAAACTTTCAGCTTTCACATACCAATGTTGACATTGGTGTGAGCCTGCAGCCTATGGGCTCTAATCTGAATTTGAGGCTGTGGCCCTGATCCAGAAGAGGCAGAAATCAAAGCCCAGCCACAGATTGTGTTCGTGTCCTTCTCAGGTGAAGGTTGTTTCATCCAGGAGCCTTTTGTCCTTGCTGCTGTGCCCAGTGAGCTCTTGCTGGATCAGATAATGTTCTTTGCTGGGCAGCAAAGTCAGGTGTAATTTATTTTCTTTGACTTTCACATTTCAGAGTGAAAGATCTGTTATTGAATAGATATCCTGTTGAACATCTCTGGTATTACTTTGTGCTTTTATTAAAGTGTTTTGGTAGCATAAATCTATTCCATGTCTGATAGCAAAGCTTTGTAATACTTCATATAAACACATGTTCAGAGTACATGCATCAGGCTGTTTTCTTGCATTTTTAATAACTTCTTTTGCTGTGGATTCTCATTTCTGGGTTTTGAGGATGTTTATAGAGATGCTACTGCCATAAATCATAGAAATGGTTTGGGTTGGAAGGAACCTTAAAGATCACCTTGTTCCCAGCCCCTCTGGGAACGTGCTCAACCAGATGGGATTGCTCAGAGCTCCATCCAGCCTGGCCTTGAACAATTCCAGGGGTCCAGGGGCACCCACAGCTTCTCTGGGCACCTGTGCCAGGGCTGCCCACCCTCACAGGCAGCAATTCATTCTGTAAATCTGAACTAAATTTCTCTCTTTCAGTTTAAAAAAAGACATCAGTAATTAGATTATCAACTTCCCAATTAAACCTTCATAGTTATGCTGAAGTATTTCTGTATACTGAGGAGATTCAGAAGCAGCACATCCCCTTTCCACAACTGGAAAGGAGCAATTCCAGTGTTTCATGATGGGCTGGCTTAAGGAGAATTGTAACAACAGCTTGAAACTTGACTGTGTTAAATATGTGCTTGGTGAATATTCTCTTCAATGCGTGCACACAAATAATCTCCCATTAATTCTGTGTTCAGAATTAATGTGTGCCTGCAGGAGAGCAGAGATGGACCAGCATAAGGAAAGGGCTGCAAGGCATAAATGGGAAATCCAAGAGATAAACACTTAATTTATTGTAAGAACAACAACAGCAGGGTTTTGGAGGGATGGTGAGCTGTGCCCCTGAGCATGGATTTGGGATAAGGTGATGGTAACACTGCAGGGTTGTGTCGTGGATCTCCATCACAAGTTATTCCAGCTGCTCTCTCCAGAGCTGTGTGTGCTGTGTTTAGGACATCCCAGGTTCCCAAATTGCTGAGACGGTCCCTGGAAAAGAATCAAAACAGCCACAGCTGACTTTTTAAATGCCTTTGCAGCTTGGTTTGCCTGGATCTGTAATGAAAGGAGGTGATTCTTCTGAATGAGACCTGGCTCTGTGCAGACATTATCTGATAGATATTTATCTCTCCAAATTGCCCATGGGTGCAGGAGGAGCTTTGCCTGCTTGGTTTGCTTCAAACTCCCAAGTTCCTGGAGTTAATGTTTGTGCTGTAACCTCTTAGGGTGATCACAGGGCTGTAATTTTGGTTTGCTTCCAGGTGGGATTTAAACCCACTGTATGTAAGTGCTGCAGGATTATTATTCTAATGTGTTGGTGTCTCTGCAACTATGGAGAGAAATCAGAAATGTTGAAATAAAGGCTTTTTCTTTATTCTGTTACCACTGAAATGGGAGGAATCTTAGGAGCTGTCCATTGTGTAGCTTGAAGGAAAAGGCAACCAAAAAAATTTCTGCTTTGACAGCTGATGGATTTTTAGCCTGTGTATAAATTCTTACTTGTTCAAAAAAATTACAGAGAAGTAAGCTTTTCTTTCTTCCTACAATGTTTTTCTGTTCATCAAAAAAATAGCAGAGAAAAGGACTGTTCCTAACCCTGAAGTGCCTGTTTTTTTGATTTAATTACCAGTCCAGGGGCCTTATGATACAATTAGTTGTGTTGTGTCGTTTATCTTCCTAGTGCCCTTTGCAACCTTCTCCCACTAAACCCAATGGTTTTACAAGGCCATCTTGGTGATCATGAGTTTATAGCATAACTTCTTCAAAAGTTGTGTGTGGTTTTTTATTCCATGAGTACATCTGCATTTTAGACCTGAGTTTCAGTACCAGTGAGGTGCAGGTCAGATGAGAATTTCAAATAACACCTAAGAGTGGAACAGGGTTGGGTCAGGTTTGATATAACCACGTGTGCAAACAACATTGGGCATGAAGCTTTGAATAATTTGGTGTTATCTTCTCATGCTAAATAAAGATTTGTACAAGGTCAAATGAAAAACTGTTGCTTGATGCGTTAGAGGTTGAAGTGTAATGCTTTGCCCTTTTGTACTCCAAGAGTAAATTTGGTTAGGACAGGCATTGAAGCAAATAAATGGAGAGTAGAGGGAAGCTGTGAGCATGTCAGTGGGGAGGCTGAGCTCTTCATGAAGGGAGAGCTTTCAAACATTGATCCCCTTCCCTTGCAGGGACCCAGGTGTGGGCAGATCCCATGGGAATGCCTGAATCCATTATCCCTGCAAAGCTGAGCTGAGGGGACACTTGCACACAAACCAGGAGCTGGTGAGGCTGTGACAAACACAGATTTGCACAGGATTGCAGTTGTGATTCGGGGCTGAGTGAACAAATCACATCCCTGCCTCAGCAGTGAGCTCTCCAGGAGCTGGTGAGGCTGTGACAAACACAGATTTGCACAGGATTGCAGTTGGGGTTAGGGGCTGAGTGAACAAATCACATCCCTGCCTCAGCAGTGAGCTCTCCAGGAGCTGGTGAGGCTGTGACAAACACAGATTTGCCCAGGACTGCAGTTGGGATTTGGGGCTGACTGAACAACTGAACAAATCACATCCCTGTCTCAGCAATGAGCTCTCCAGGAGCTGGTGAGGCTGTGACAAACACAGATTTACACAGGATTGCAGTTGTGATTCGGGGCTGAGTGAACAAATCACATCCCTGTCTCAGCAGTGAGCTCTCCAGGAGCTGGTGAGGCTGTGACAAACACAGATTTGCACAGGATTGCAGTTGTGATTCGGGGCTGAGTGAACAAATCACATCCCTGTCTCAGCAGTGAGCTCTCCAGGAGCTGGTGAGGCTGTGACAAACACAGATTTGCACAGGATTGCAGTTGTGATTCGGGGCTGAGGGAACAAATCACGTCCCTGTCTCAGCAGTGAGCTCTCCAGGAGCAGCCGATGGCTGGGAGCTGAATGTGTCACCTGCAGGGCTGAGTGTGTCACTGCCATCCCCAGCTCCCCACGGGTGGGTGGCACTGCACATTAATGGCAACACTCAGCCTGTCTGCTCCTCTCTCTGCTCAGCTGCCACCAGATGCCACCTCGGTGACAACTTAATGGCTGTGCATTTCACAATATTGTGAAGTTTAAGGGAAGTCTAAAAGCTTGTTTGTACAGCAAAGCACAAAGCAGTCACAGCTTCCTGCAGTGGTACAGGAGATAAGGGGGTGGTTTTAAACTAAAAGAGAGTCAGTTGGGTTTGGTAGCAGAAGTTTTTCACAGTGAGGGTGGTGAAGCTCTGTCAGGGATGTCCAAACTCAGGTTTTGGGGGTTTGGAGCAGCCTGGGATAGTGGGAGATGTCCCTGCCCATGGTAGATGGTGGCACTAGGTGACATTTAAAGGTCCCTTCCAACCCAATCTATTCAATGATTCTGATATGTTCATAACAAACATTTGCATTACTGCCTAGTCTTGCAGTAGAATGTTTTGGTTTGTTTAAATAAGGTAAGAGACTTCTTTTTCAATTCCCCTTGAGCTGGACACTTTTGAAAATGGGTACTGAAGAACTCCACAGTAATGTTGTGTTTGGAGTATCTATTTCTAACCAGCTGCTTTCAGAAGCTTTTCAAGAAAGTGACTTTGTATTTGCCGTGGCTCTGAAATGTCACAATCCTTATGTTACTTTCAAAATATATTAAGTTAACCTTGCAAATAAGAGTGATTTCAATGTCTCAAAATTTACTTCAAATAAATAGAAAATAAAACCAATGAAGAAGAAAACCTTAGGTGCTTCTTTAAGCACTTTAACCAGACAGCAATTCAGGCCCACAGCTCTTCTGTTCTCTTCCCCAAATAGAAATGAAAGGCAAGGTTCTGTGCTGCAATCCTGCTCCAAGTGCCAGGTGGTGATTCCAAAAGTTAACAGCCAAAAATGTCAAGGTTTCAAGTACCTGGTTTCTAAATAAAACACAGACTTTTTCATTGTAGCTACATGCAGCAAGTTTCAGAGTGCTACTACTGATGTCTATTATTCTATTATTATTCTGTATATTTTTCTGTTCTATTATTAATGTCTACTATTATTTGTATTTAACAATATTTTCCTGGTGCAGCTTTGCTAATCAGTTTGTTGGTGATGTCTTTGCAGATCACATCAGACATGACTATGTGAATAACCAGGGATAAGCCAAAGGCAGGACAGGATGTCAGAATAACATACAAAACATTTTTGAGGTATTTGTTTTGTTTTGGATTTCTTTATTGTGCTAAAAATTTTTGGTTGTCTTTAAGATATTTAAGCAAAGTGAATGCAGTAATTCTGTGCAATTCCATACTTAAAACATGCTTTAAAATTTTAGAAACCCTTTTTTTTTTGAAGTAATAACTGATTTGCATGGTTATCTTCATGTTTCAACTGCTAATTATGTATTCTTATGACACTTAAATTTTCTTGACCACAAGGGCTGGTGATGTCCCAAAGTGCTATTTGACTTAATTGGAACAGATTGTGGTTTTAATTCTGAACATTAAGAAAAATCAGGATAATTTGAACTGGGTGAAAAGAGGGCCATATTTAGGTTAAGTTAAGCTTAAATTACTTTTGAAGGAGATAAAGTTCATTCTTTCCTAAGGTAATTTTCTTGTGTGTGACATCTTCATCCTTGGCTTAGCAGCTGCATTCTGGTGAGAGAGAGGAATTTTGTCCAAAAAAACCCCAATGTGTGAACAGAAAATACAATTTAGCTCCAAGAAATTGTACTAGATCCAAGCAGCAGAGCTGGATTTCAGTTTGTTCTGTTCCTCAAGCAGAGAATATGTCCTTCAGACACCTCACAGTGTCCTGGGAGCTTCCCAGCTGTTTTTGCAGTTGCTCTCACATCTCTCTGCTGCATTTGCATGGATTTATTTTCATTTCTGGTTTCTTGGATTGCTCCTGCCTGGTTCTGACATCAAGGCTTAAGGATCAGAAGGATTTCTTGTGTTATGTGTTTTTCTGATTCCTGATAAAGAATTTTTAAAGGATTTAGACCAACACAGCTTTATCAAACACCATCTCAGTGCCAGTGTCTTCACCTGGTAATGGCAACTTGGGCCATTCTAGAGGAACAAAGTGATCCCATATTCAATATCTTGGGATGGAAATTGAAATTGCTGTGCCATAATCCCTACAGTCATGTACAGGCTGCCATTAATAAGGGGGGAAAAGGGAGACCTCTGTGTGCCTGTGATAAATCAATAGAAATGCTTTCAGGTTTCTCTCAGACAAGGCCTTTAATAGCAGGAATCAATTGGATTTTTAGAACACAGTATACCTTTAAAGCAGCAGGATATTCTTGAGGCCTAATGTTGAAGTTTTAATTTGTCTCATGTTTGTTGGTAGCACTTCAGTTTCATTCCATATCTTTCTTTGGGGGAGATGTCTGGGAAATAATTCTGTTTTCATGAGAACTGTTAAGGCTTCATGTCTGGTTTTGGCTCCATGTTGGAAGGACAACAAAGCCTTAAAAGAGTTTCATGAAATTAAATTAATTAATGTGTTCTTTGAAAATCTGATTCATGTAATCTGTTGCCATGTTCATTTAACCAGAACCATTTGTTTCCCTTAAGGTTGGGCTGATCTGAGACCATTTGATAAGTTATCCAATAGATCTTGTGGTTTTTCCTAAACAATAACATTTTTTATCAACAAATTTAGCTGCTTTCTGACTTGCTGCGTTGTTTGTTGTGAGCAGTGTATTAGAACAGCTTTATTTCCATCCTGGTTTCTTTCTACTCTTCCTCACTTGCTGGAGCAGAATGAAAAGTCAACAGGCTGGTGCCATAATCTGCTGTTTTAAAAGAGACATGAGCTGTAATTTAATGAAGACTTTGCCATTTTAGTCTGAGATAAAAGAGAGAAGTTGAGTTTTTGACAGAAGAGGAGGAGTGGTGTATGAGCACAGCACGATGGAAGTGAAACCAGTCTAAAATCCCTTTGTCAGGCATTGAAGTTGGATGTTATTGGTGGGTTAACCTTGGCTGGACATCCACCAAAGCTGCTCTCTCAGAGAGGGGAGAGAAAAATATTAAAAAAAGCCTTGTGGGTCAAGGTAAGAGCAGGAGAGATCAGTCAGCAATTACCATCACAGGCTTGACCTGGGGAAATCAGGTTAATTTATTACCAATGACATTAGAGTAGAATAATAAGAAATAAAAGCAAAGTAAGAAACAAACAAACAAAACTAAAAACAAACAAAGAAAATCAAAACCTTAAAACCTGTCCCCCTTTCTTTCATATTCATCTTTCTGCACTCCCAGAATCGCTCAGGTGTCGATCAGAAAGAATCCCAGCTCTGTTTTGAACTTGACCATGCTTTATCTCCCAGAAACAAAACCCCAGAGCCAGCTGTGCTCTGTCTCCTCATTAATAATGAATAACGATGATGATGATGGTGGTGGTGGTGCTGTGTTTGTCCCTGCAGGGCGAGGCCAGCAAACCATGCAGTCATCAGGGCACCGATTCCGCGATGTCGAGCACCACCCGCTCCTGGCCGACAATGACAGCTACGACTCCTCCTCCTCCTCCTCCTCGGAGGCTGACATGGCTGACAGGGTCTGGTTCATCAGGGATGGCTGTGGCATGGTCTGTGCCATCATGACCTGGCTCCTGGTGGTCTATGCAGACTTTGTAGTGACTTTTGTCATGTTGCTGCCTTCCAAAGACTTTTGGTACTCCGTGATCAACGGGGTTCTCTTTAACTGCTTGGCAGTGCTGGCTCTGTCGTCACACCTGAGGACTATGCTGACTGATCCAGTAAGTATCCAAGACTTCTTTGGCATTGGATTGTCCCATCCATCTGCACAGAAGTTTGGAGAAGTCTTCTGGGAAAAGTAGTGTTAGAGGCAAAATCCTCGTGTTAGATTCAAAATCCTCGTGTTAGATTCAAAATCCTCGTGTTAGGTTCAAAATTCTCATGCTAGAGTCAAAATTCTCATGCTAGAGTCAAAATCCTCATGTTAGATTCAAAATCCTCATGTTAGATTCAAATCCTTGGGCTAGATTCAAAATATTTGTGTTAGAGTCAAAATATTTATGTTAGATTCAAAATCCTCATGTCAGATTCAAAACCCTCAAGGTTTGGATGACACCTGTGCTTATCATCAGGATTGTACCTCTACTTCTCCTGTTACTCTATTAATGAAACCATAGAACAGTCAATATAAAATTTATAAAAGTGTTAGACTCAAAAAAACCCAGTAAAATATTACTCCAGGTCCTGAAGTAGCTAGTAAAGTTTAGTCTTCCTTGTCCTCATTTTGCTTACTTTTTTTTCATCAGATTTATTTTCAAAATTTGTACCTTCATCCTTCTGCATCTCTTGAAATGCTCCCATGCTTCCCATGGAAAAACATTCAGAGGTGGATGTGCTGCAAAACCTCAGGCACACTTGGCATAGTGGAAAAACCACTGTCTCATGTGATTCCTGCATTTTTGTCCTTGAATATTTGGAAAGGGAAGGGAGATTTAAGCTGAACACACAGTGAAGCATTGTAGGTGTAAGAGGTCTTGAAAGTGCTCATTTCTTAGAACTTTTACTCCTCAAGATTTCAAGTGATTAAATGGTTGATTTTGTACTAAAATCTATTACTATTTTTAAGGAATAAATTTGGGAAAAACATCTATTTTCTCCAGATATTTGGAGAAAAATGGAGATTTTTCTCCAGCACCAGTGTATAGAGAAACATTCAAAAACCCAGCAGGGTGTTGTAGTTAATGATTTTCTAGCTCTTTGATTTACTTCTGTCCACACCCAGTGATGAAATATCACAACTTGTACAAACTGTGACAGCTCAGAGAGTTAATGGTTTAAGGATTTATTGCTTATAAAGATGAGCTGGTAAAGCTGGGTGTCTTTCTAGACCTGTGGTGTTTTTTATGATGCAAACTGAGACGAGTCACTGCTTTTTTCCTTTCGTGCTGACTCCCAGAATGGAAGGCACAACTGTGTGATAGGAACTAAGATGAAAGGAATGAACTGCCTCAAAACTCAAGTGAATTAAATTTACACTTGTAACTATAAAAAATAGATTTTTTTGCTGGCTGGCTGTGACTGTGAAAGATGGTTTTGAAATAGAGTGTATTTTTGTCAGCAAAATGCTTGAAAGCATGGTCTGAGGTTCTGATCCTTGTGGCAGGTGAATAGGGAAATGTGAGATGTTTACACCAAATATTAACTGGGTGAGAATGTTCAGATTGCAAAATTCAGCTCAGGAGTAGAACATGAGTGTTGAAGGAAGTCCCTGTGAGCACCTGGTCAGGTTTGGAGCACCACTCAGCCACAGAGCTCACCTGGGACAGGACCTGGGCTTGTCTTGGCCAACACAAACACAAATTTATTATTCCAGGCTGTAGGTAACCAAAACTCCCCTGAGCAGAGAGGTGTTTGGCAGTGGAATCTGAGTTCCTGCTGGGTTCTTTATTCTGTCCCAGATGTTCTTAAGGTGTCTGTGTCAAGTGCTGATGTTGCCAGGGGGCTTTTCTGAATGAGAATTAATTCTAGAATGTTGCAGTTGGCTCAGGCTGACCTGCAGAAGGCTCTCCCTGTGTGAAGGAAGTGCTGACCTGGAGCAGTGGTACAGAAAATCCACTTGGCTGCCACATCCCAGTTTGTTTCACAATCACTTCCCCTCACAGATAAGGCTTTATCTCCATCAATGAGCAGGGTGACGATGATGCTGAATTATTTTCTCCTTACTAATCCAAATTTAGATCCTGATCTCAGGATGCAGCTCTGTGATAATCACATCAGAGAACTAATCACTAAAAGTTAATTTCTTTTCCCAATCAATTATTTTTCTTTTGAATCAACTCTTTACCACGAAGCTGCACAATAAAGAAGAGTAAAGGAGCCATTGCTGGTCCTGCTAACAGTGGTCAAGCTAAAGATTTTAGGAAAGAAAATTACATTTCTCAAAAACTTGGGGCAGGTGGTTAAACCCTGGCTTCAGACAGTTGAAATAACATCTTTCAAGTAGCTGCTGATTTTTGTGGATGGCTTCACCCATTAATCAAATTCCACAAGAGATATTCAGTGTAACTCCTCAGAAATGATGGGCAGTGCTTGTCTGCAGGGTAAGATGTGTCTCCCTCTTCATTTCTGTGGGCTGGTGACAGGATATTCTATGAGAATTAAGCTAATACTTGGCCAGAGATGAGTCTTGCTGGAATAAAGCTGAATTTGAGGTCAAGCAGAGGTAATTTATTCATTTGGAATTGATTCTGGCTTATAGCAGACTGGCTTTGAATAAATGAACTTATTTCAGCAATTATCCTGAGGTTACTGCTATGAAGTCTATGAAATGTATTTTTAAATGCTCTCATGCCATTTAAGAAGCTTTTTCTCCTCTAATTGAAATGATTTCAGGGGGCTGTGCCCAAAGGAAATGCCACTAAAGAATACATGGATAATTTGCAGCTGAAACCAGGAGAAGTGATCTACAAATGTCCCAAGTGCTGTAGTATCAAACCTGAGCGTGCACACCACTGCAGGTATGCCAGAGTTCCTTCCAGAGTTCTGCTTTTGGAGGCCTGGAATAACAATCCTGATATTTGTTTGTTTTTTCCCCCACAAATTTCTTTTGGTATCCACTAAACTTTCAAATTCCTGCATTGCAGAGTATTTTGTAAGTGTAATGTACAAAAAATGACTGTGGATGAGGGGAGAGAAGTAAGAAACTCTAAGATTTTATTACAATAACTGTGCTCTGGTGTCTTAAATAATTTAGATCAGTGAATATCTTTTCCTGTGCATCATTCCAGTTATTGTGCTCTGCTGTGGGTAATGCAGGGCAAAGAAAAGAATCTCAAATTTCTGAGGGAGCTGATTTAAGAAGTGACTCCTGCAGTCTTAACAAAATTAGAGTAGTTTAAAATTATTACTTTGTGTTATCTCTTCTTTGCAGTGCATTTGAAGTTATTTGTGAATTGGCAGATTATTTTCCCAAAGTTGCATGAATAATGGGTTAAATGCACTTCCACTTACTGAAAATCCATTTGAATAAGGACAGAAATAATGATCATTTGAACTAAACACGCTATGGAGGAGATAGTAAATGTATATTTTTAATTCTCAATCCTTGGAGTGTTTAGGCACTGTGGAAATGCTTTTGTAGTGTTTATTGTGTGCCAGTAGAAAATAGCTGTGCCTGCATAATCAGGGCTTACATAAAGATGCAAATGCTTCTGGTGGCTCTCTAGGTGTGGGGAGTGATGTGTTTGAATTGTGAGAAGTACGAAATCGAAATCTCTGCCTTGGTGCCTGTCAAAAGAACAGAGCAGAGTCTTGTCAGGACTCTGAGATGATTCTGGAGCTTTGTGGGTTCTAAATTAAAAGCCTCATGTGTGTGTCAGTGCTCAGTGCTACGGCTGAGGAGCTGCTGCCATTTATAAATCCTCGGCCTTGGCATGGAGCTCCTGTTCCTCTCTCAGCTCTGAGTGGGATTTTGGATCTGGAGTGTGAAGGGAGAAGTTCCATGGATAAACAGGGGAGGATGGAATGCTCTCCAGTTGCTCTGTGTGTGCTTTAGGCTGGCTTTGCTCAGGTGCACGTCCCTGGCTGTGCAGGGATGCTGCTGCTGCTGCTTTGTCGGCTCAGGAGGGCTCACTGGAGGATGGCTGGGGGTGGAGGCAGCACAGCTGCTCCCAGAAACTCCCTGGGGATCCAGGAGAGCTCACATGGCCTGCCTCTGTGTCCGTGAGGGACAGCTGGGAGCCTGCAAACATGGCCTGCATCTCATTTCCTCATCCCATATTCAGGTTGATTCCTACAGAGACCTTGCAGGTATCTGTGGAAAATATTTCCCACATTTTGGTCCTGGTCGGATTTGCTCATTTAGAAGGAGCCCTAAGTGAAGACATCTGTTGAAATACTCCAGCTCTTTTTCTGTCTTATGTACCAGAGATCCTGGAGCTCAAATGCCTCCTTTAGAGCAAGAATTTGAGCAGCATTTATTTTTTAAAGAAGAGCAAGAATTGATAATGTCTGTGATAAAGCTGATATTTTCAAGGGTTTTTTTTTCCCCCAAGCACCTGTTTGGGGTTCCAGCTTTGTCTGCCTTAGGCATTGTTTTAATCCTTGATCAAATATTTTACTTGAGGGCAAAGGAGGCATTTTGGGGCTTGCTCAGTGCATCTCTGGCTCCACACAATATCTGAAAGAGAAAGCCAGAGCTAATTTGGAAGGAGTCCTAAGTGAAGACATCATCATCTGTTGAAATACTCCAGCTCTTTTTCTGTCTTATGTACCAGAGATCCTGGAGCTCAAATGCCTCCTTCAGAGCAAGAATTTGAGCAGCATTTATTTTTAAAGCAGAGCAAGAATGGATAATGTCTGTGATAAAGGAAATACCTGATATTTATATTTTTATAAAGTTTGGGGTTTTTTTTCCCCAAGCACCTGTTTGGGAATCCAGCTTTGTCTGTCTTAGGCATTGTTTTAATCCTTTAATCCTTGATCAAATATTTTACCTAAGGATAAAGGAGTGATTTTGGGGCTTGCTCAGTGCATCCCTGGCTCCACACAATATCTGAAAGAGAAAGCCAGAGCCTGAAGGTGTTGTGATGTTGCTGTCATGTTTTTCTCAGCAGTTGCATTTCTGGTTTAATTGTCTTTGTTTCTGTTAATTTGATTCTTTGCCTTCAATTTATCACTGCAGGAGTCTGCCCAACAGAAAAAGGGTTTGTTTGATTATGCTGCCAATTTTTGTATTGGTTTGCAAATCCCATTAAAAGGATGATCTAGTCCCAAGTATTTAAAGTGGCAATTTGCTGATAGAAGAGGCTTGAAAATGGAAATTGAAGTTGGTTGCTGTTGGGAAATACTTACACTCAGAGAGCCACAGTGCATGTTTTCAGTAGTAAATTATTAACAGAAGAGACTCTTAGGATGTAGTTACGAAAATTGTTGTGCAACACTGCAACAGAAGTTCTTTTAAGGCAGAAAAATAGTTTCATAATACACATTAGTGATGGGGAAAAGAGCAAGAACCTTTTATTTACAGCTAAGCATCTCTGAAATCAAGTGATGCAATTGAAGTGATGTTTTAGTGAGCAGTTAACATTTTCAGCCCTATCCTGAGTGAATGGGATTTCATTTTCACTGAAGGAGCACAGCTGTCATCATTTCTGCCTGTTCTGAGTGTTTGTGTGTGGGGGACTCTGAATAAAGTCACTGAGATGTTTCCACCAGGCTCCCAGGGAATATCTGTTACCCACACCCATTTCTCCTGAGTCTTTAGCTGTGTCTTTCTGAATGTTATCTTTGCCATTCAGAGCTGTAATTGCACCTGCCTGAGTTCATGGAGAGACTTTCCTCCATGCACAGCTGCTTGTTCTGTTTGCTTCTCTCTTGTGAACAGCCCTGGGTGCAGCTGGAGGAGGGATTTCCCCAAACTCCTGCTGCATAAAAAGGAATAAAATACAAGGGATGGGGTAGGAAGAAGGCAGAGGCACTGCTGGAAGCATTGCTGTGAGATTGTTGGTGGGAGAGCAGGAATGAAGGCGGGGTTCCAGATATCTGAGCTCTTGTGAGAGCTCTGTGCGGGCTTGTGAGGAATTCTGAGTGAGCAGAATGGAGTCCTGCCCGCCTCACATCCTCCAGCCTTCAGCTTGATTGAGCCTGGGTAGGTTTTACTCAGCACTTCTCATTAATATTGCTTTTTACAGTGCTGGCATGGATTCTGTGGCACATCAGGAGCCTTGTCTGGTTGTGACACTCAGGGAAATGAGAGGCTGAACTTGCAGGCAGCAAGGAAAGACTTTGGAGGAGCCTCCTGAATGTCTCCTCCTGTGTGATACCCCCTTTTCCTGCACCAGGGAGTGCTTGTAGTGTTTATCTGCTGTTGGGATTTACACTTGTATTTAAAAAATAATTTGTAGCAGAGGATGAATCCTCTTTAATATCCACAAAACAAAAAGCAGAGGGAATGTGGGGCTGGGGTTTGATAGCCCAGAGCAAAGGCAGCTTCGTTTGGGATTCTGCCCCATAACCTGCACATGGTGTGTTCTGCCTCGTGCTGAATCACTTTAGTTGTTAAGTTGTCACATTTGTATGATTCTATTTTCTGCCTCAGAGCACTGATTTCCTCCCACACCTCCCTCTTTTGTCCCTCCAGTGACAATAACCCAGCTTTGCTTTGTGCTTTGTCACTGCAGCACTTGTAGATACCACACCTAAATCAGCCTCTGTCAAAAAAAAAAGATTTCAATAACAGTGCCTGCATTTTTTAGGCTTATTTGGCTTGGTGACTGCTGAAGTGAAAATGTTTAATATTCTGCATATTCTGTGGGAAAATCTGGAACACTGAGTGTGTGGCTGTCTTAAGTACAAAGCTGGGAAAATGGAATATCAGCATTGCTCAAGCTATTGATTTATGAAGAGCTACAACAGATGTTGCAACTGTTTCATTTTTGGTGTGTAATTCTTCACATTTGGCTGCAGAACTGAGCCCTCTGCTGCTGTGTGGCAGATGTAAAATGGAGTTATTGGAGTATTTATTTGGAGTTATTGGAGCATTTATTAGACTTCTGTGGACATACCCTTGACTCCAAACTGGGCAGGAGCAAGAGAACCAGCAGAGAAGAGGAGTGTTCAAGAACTCATGGACAAGTAGCTACTTGATAAGTGCTGGTTCAATTAATATAATTTCAATACTTGTATTTTCTCTTAAGGAAGTGAGTTTTGATACTCTAAGCTGGCTTTAGTTGAGATTTTGATTGCATAAGTTTAGAATTTTATGGCCAGTTGAGGTCTCAAAGAGTGACAGTTTCTCCCTTGAAGATGTGAATTTCTTGGGTTTCTTCTTATCCACAAACAAAATTTACAACTTGAAAGCCTGTAAAAGTGAAATATTTATTTTATCTCAAAAACTTCTCCAGAAGGGAAGGGTCTGAATGAGAGAGTCTTATTAATACTGAATTCAGACACCTGAGCTGCAGGTGTCTGAAGTTCTGGATTTGTTTTATTCTGAGGAGTATTTTATGTACACAGTCCATTTTGGAGCACCCAAAATCTGAGTTGTGAGAATGAACAAGCAGTTTCTTTAAAGAAATGCAAATAAAATCCCTGTGTGCAGTTTGTCAAGAAATATTTCAGCACATCATGCTGTGACCACTGGCTGCCCTTGGTTCTACAATTTCAAATACAATTTCTACAATTTCAAATACAATTTCTACAATTTCAAATACAATTTCTCAGCAGAAGCCTCTTGTCCTTTTTTCCAGTATTTGCAAGCGATGCATCCGAAAGATGGATCACCACTGCCCCTGGGTGAACAATTGTGTGGGGGAGAAAAATCAGAGATTTTTTGTTCTGTTTACGGTAAGTGAGCAGCAGCAGTTTGATTTTAGTCTGCATTTCCCTTGGTTATAACAATTTAGGTTGTGCTTGGTGAGTAATGGCTTTAGGACATGATTGTGTTGTTAAATTGGGTGGGTTTGTTCTTTCTGTGAAAGGGATTTCTACCCACATTCATTTTAATTTAGTGCTGTTGTTTCAAAGTTTCTTCCTCAAAGTTTTGCTGTGTTTTATGCAGTGGCAGTGAGTGGAATGATGCTGTCTCTTGTTTGCAGATGTACATAGCCCTAATTTCAGCTCATGCTCTTGTACTCTGTGGATTTCAGTTCTTCTCCTGTGTCCGAGGGCAGTGGACTGGTGAGCAAATAAATACTTAATTTTAATTACCATTGTCTAGTAGATATTAGGGAAAAGTCATAGCATTCCTGTTTTAGCCCCATCTTTCAGTAAAACATTTCAGATCTGTTTATCCATCACTCTCCTTTTCCTTTCTGGTTTTTTCTCTCCCTTTCATTCAGTCATTTTCTGTAAGCTGTGGCTGTCAGGGGCATTCTCACTGCCTTTACTCACAGTAGTAATTTACTACCTCTGTAGGAGGAAGGAAACTGAGCTGGTCCTCAGCCACTTCAGCACAAAATCATCTAAATCTGGGTTTTGTGTGCCCCACCTCAGTTCTGGGAATGGCACCTGAAATTTAAACAGATTTCTCCCTCATTCCATTACTAGAACTCAGCTGTGGGGCTTCTGCAGAACAGAAGTTCCCTAAACTATCCCAGTTATTTTTTTTTATTTAGGCTTCTAGCTTGTATTTCTTACTGTTCCAGTCTGCCAGAGCTCATTCTGCTCTTGTGCTTTTGGTATGTGAAGCAACAGGGAAATCCATGTGATTTTTATTTTTTTTCTGAGTATTTCATTAAATGAATGGAATCTTAGAACTTTGTTTTACTTGAAACATTCACCTTCTGTACACTATCCCTGTTTAAATATAATTGAGTTAATCAGGTGATCAGAGGCCTCTCCAGAGATGTGTGAGGCAGAATTTGATTACTTTGTGTGGAGAATTAAAATAAAAAGAGTAATAAAGCAATGACAGCCAAGTGGAACATCTGTATTAGCAGTCAGGGCTGACAGGGGATGGTTTTACAGCCTCTGTCTTGCAGGAAGCTCCAAGCTGCTCTCTTATTTTCAGTTCTGAGTTCTTCAGTCCCCTCACATGCAAACATTTATTTGATAGCCTTGAAATCCTGAGGCAGGATTGCAGAAATAGTTACCATGTGCTTTATGTGAAGCCAGAAGTGTTTCTTCCATAAAATTCTTTATTTTCTTGATCAGCAAATAAAGCTGCCGCAAAATCAGAAATTTGTTTTAAATGTGAAATAATATTTCAAGTGTCAGACATGTAGGACATGCTCTATAATTTGCTGTTGGATTTTTTTTGTAACCACAATATTTCATTTTCACAGAGTGCAGTGACTTCTCCCCACCTGTAACTGTGATCCTGATGATCTTCTTGTGCCTTGAGGGTTTTCTGTTTCTCACTTTCACTGCAGTCATGTTTGGCACCCAAATCCACTCAATATGCAATGATGAAACGGTAAAAACCTTGACTTTTTTATATTCTGTAACATTTATTCTGGGAAGATGTGATTAGATGTGGTTTTGTTTGCATGAGGAGAGGCTCTTATTTCAGAGAAAGCTGCAAAACTTCACGAATTCGTCATTTTTATTTTCTGCACTTGGGGGAAGGCTGGGATGGGTTACTGGGGGTTGCTTTCTAACAGAAGTTCTTGCACTGTTTGCTTTTTTGACATTTTGTAATTTGGTTTAAAATGACAAAGAATGCAAAGCTTCTGAGTTGAGGTTTGACTTTCCCTTCTCAGCCCGTAGAAATTCCTGCTGGGTGCCATGGGAAGTGTCTGCTTTTCTCAGGTTTACACTGAAAAATCATTCTCTCTCACCTCTTTGTGATACATTTTATCAGAGGATAAAGCAGTTTGGGCCTTTGGCTCCTGTGTCCTTAGATCTGCAGTGTCACACCTGGAGAGAATAATTGCTTGGAAACACAAGGAAATTGAATCCTGTGACTGCTCAATATTTTCTCATGTTTAAAAGTGTATTTATGTACTGAGGAGTAAGTGCAAAACAACTGGTAAATATTGAGCCTTCATTAGTGGGAAGCACAAAAAATGACCATCAAAATAATGCATTGGGAGAGTAATCCTGCCTGCAGTAATTGTGGAGCAGGAGCCTTATTGTCTGCTTTCATCAGCTGAGTAAACAACTTGTAGTGTAGGATATTGCACGTGGATCCATCAGCTTTTCTGGGAGTTTTGGGGAAAAGAGGTAGAGCTATCAACCTTCTTGTATATTTTTTATGTTCTAAATCTTCTGCCCTTTACCCACAGGGCTAAAACACTTTCTAACTTCTCCCTTAATAATTAATAAATAACAGTAAGAAGCTAATCAGCTGAGGCACAACACAATGAAACAGCACAATAAAAATGCAAGCCCGGTTTTTACGACCAGGTTTTATATTAGATTAAACTAAACCTTGGACATGCCTGCCTGTGTTTATTTGCAGGAGATTGAGAGACTGAAGAGTGAAAAGCCAACGTGGGAGCGCAGGCTGCGCTGGGAAGGGATGAAATCTGTGTTTGGGGGCCAGCCCTCTCTGCTGTGGATCAACCCCTTCGCAGGATTTCGCATCAGGAGGCTTCTCCTGCGAGGGAAGAAAGGAGGACCTGAGTTTTCTGTTTGAGCCTAAAGATGCTGGAACTTGCAAGAATCCTATATAGTATTTATTTTGGGGCCAGAGAAGGCTGTCTACATATAATCTGTGACCAGGTGAAACTGATATCAGACATTTGCTTGTAGCAAGCAGAGTTTTCTACGTTTATTGTCACAGACATCTCATTAATTCTGAGACAGGAACTGGACCTGCCATGATCTTCACAGCAGGATAAGCACGTGGTCACACTAAAGAAGCCAAATGTTGTCATGCTACTGTAATTTATTTTCTGAGATTACTTCCCCATTTTTTTGTTTTAAACCCTTTTTATTTGATAAATGTCTGGGGAATTAATTACCTGTGTGTTTTTATAATGAGTCTGTCTAAGTCCTTGGATGCAGTTGTCAATCATTAGGAGGAGCCTTGTGGTGGAAGTTGATCTCCAATGAGACACAGCCTTCCTTGTCAGTCCAGACTTCAGGGAATTGTGCTTTGTTCAGTTCTCCTTTCTCTTTCAGCTTGTCCTGATAAGCAGAGCTGTCCCTGTGTGTCCCACACATTCCTCAGGTGCAGGTGCTGCCCAGGACTGGTGCCCAGCACTGTCACACCCTGCCCAGGCTCCCTAAAGCATGGCCTGTGTTTGGCAGTGCCCATCCCATCTGGCACTTAGGGAAAGGCTGGATTTTCACTGCCTGGGGGCCAAATCCTGCCCTGGGATGTTCATTTCCAGTTCCACCTGCTTTGATTGCAGAGGAGCTCAGGTGTGCACTGTGCAGGGATGAGTGGGACCAGTGTCCTGCAGTGTGAGGTGACACTGAGTGACAAACTGGGGGTCATTCACTGCAAACACTTTGTCCTTGTAGGGTCTGGCTCTGCCCCTTTTTTGCTGTACAGACCCTTCATAGAGGGAAAGCTGTTCATGATCCCTTGGACAAAGACAGCAGAGAAAGAGGCAACTTCCCTCCTTTCTCAAGTACAGCACATCTTAAATGTAGAAACATCTGCAATATTCTTTTGAATTTAACCATTTCCAACCAAAACTACTTTGAAGAAACGAGAGCAATATAGATCTAGAACTGCTTTATGTGGGCCTGACAAACAACAGTAGTGCTAAAAAATGTTCATAAATCTGCAAGTAATGAAATGCAAGCTGCAAGTAATAAAAATCCAGCTAAAAGTTGATTCTTTAAAAATGACATTTAGACTATTTTTTGTATTATTGTTAACCTATAAATGACTGACCATATAAAGGATAAAGCAGGAGCCTTGATGCATAGCTTGAAATCGTGCCTAGGAAGTCAATAGCTCCCTGTTTTGGGACTTGCCTTAAAATTGTCCTGTTCTTGCTTTTGCTCAGCCAGTGGCACTGGTGACCTGTCCCACCTGCAGCAGCTCAGAGCTCTGCATTCCACCCCTTGTGCCCTGCAGGAGCTGTTTCCTTTCTCAGTGCCCTGCTGCTCCGTCTCCTCGTGCATCCTGATCCCAGCTCCATCAGTTTCTGTTCCATGGCGTGGCTGAAGGCACTGAGGGATCCATTTCTTGCCTGTGCCCTGTGAACAAAACTGTGCAATACTTTGGGGTGTTTTCACTTTGCTTTTGGGGGAGGGTGGTGCTGTGGAATGCTGGAGCCTTCCTAGGTGGAAATCCACTGGAATTGCAGTCCTGTGAACAAAACTGAGGGGGAAGCTGGAAATACCACAGGATTCTGTGCAGGTTGAGTTGCACATCTTAAAGACTGGGGAGGAAAAAAAGGTGTCTGGCTTTGTCCTGAGGCTCTTACTGTGTAAATTGTTCAATGGGAAAATCAGAAAATAGCAAAATAGCACTCCAGGTGGTTGGACCCTGTGACTTGGCAAATGTGTGCGTGTGAAATCCGGTTTACTCGGCTTTTCAAATCCTTATCTTGTAATTCTTTTTTTTATGTAAAAAAGAATAAACTAATGAATTGAAGTCTTAGTTGATTAACTTCTCTACATGTCAGGGTTTTTTTTTTTTCATATATATTTAGATTGAAGCAGCTTCAGGGAAATAGTCTTGAATCCTTTGGTAATTAATTTGTATTTATATTAATTAACTGCTCCAAATTAAAGAGATTCCTCTGCTTATTAAGAATTTTAAGCTATACTCTTTTAGCCCTTCTTGATCATTCCCTTTTCTTCATCCTCTGGTGTAGTTGCTTATTTAATTATAGAACCATGGAAAGATTTACTTGGGAAGGGACCTTTAAGCTCATCTTGTTCCCACCCAGGTTGTCTGAGGTGAGTGGGAAAACATTTTCAGTGTGAAAACTCACCTCAGTATTCCAGCCTCTGCACTTCGGGGAATTTGGGATAAATACTGGTTTGAGTCTCCAGATTTTCTGTGCAAATGTTGGATTTTTCCTCTGTTTTTGCAGCTTCTGGAGCAAAGAGATTTCCGAGCCTGGAGAGCAGCAGGTTGGGAGCGTCCACCCAAACAAGGGGGAGGAGGAACAAATGGCAGGAAAGGATGGGGAGACTCAAAGCTGTTCACTTCCCCTTTGCAATAATTCCAAAAGACACTTGGAGATGTTTTCTGGGTCTGTATCACACTCTAGTCTAATGTTTTTATGGAGAAAAGAGCTCCAAATCCATGGACACAGGCTTTGTGCCAGTGCTGCTGATATTTTGGAGCAGGTTAATGATTTGGTTGTGTTTATGTGTATTTTAAGGAACAGTTTGTTTATTCTCTGAAGGGAACAGACATCCCAGCAGATGGATCCTGCCAATTTATCTCCTTTTTATTTTCTTGTTTAATTTCTAGTAGTAATGTCAGTATTGTTCCAGAAATCCTTTCTGAAGTCTTGGACTTAGCAAGAATTCATTTATGGATTTCTTTATGCCTGTCCTTGCAGAAATGATGAATTTCTATAATTGTTCTGCTTCTCTCTGTTGGCTTCAGGCCCAAGAGAAAGAAAGAAAATGGCTTAAGGGGTTTTGAAATACAGAAATTGGGCTGTAAAATGATTCTGGAATCTGTTAATAACACTAAAATGAAGTGCACCAGCATTAGTTCTGTATATTTATTATTTTTTTCTTCTGAACAGGGTTACAGGTCAATTTTAATTTTAATGTGGTTGGTGCTTCTTCATTGATGAGATTTGTTAATTTTTTATTCTCCTTCTTTCACTTAGTCATGGTTTTTTATGTTCTGAATATATTTTAATTTTTTTTTCCTGCCTGTGTTCCAGTAGCACATCTGCTCCTGTCCTGCACTTCACTCTTGTCATCCCCAACCAGAGCCCTGGAAATTATCCAGCAGGCATCAAAGCAAGCACAGGCTGCTTTTTAATAACACAAACAAAACTCTGCACCTCCAAAATATTTCTGCAATTTCTCCTTGTATTATAGTGCAGCATAAAGTTAATATTGGACCCACGTTCAGTGTTAAAGATACTAAATGTTGGAATTGGCAAGGAAAGGGATAACTCAGAAATATTTCAATATTTTATTGCCTGAGGTGCCCCATTCATAAGTAGCTGGCACCTGACAAGGGAAATATATTAAATGATGACTTTGAACCTTTTTTGTTAACAAACCATGATTGTGATAAAATAGTCACTTGCAAGGTGCATTTGCATAAAAATATTGGTTTAATTAGAGTGGAGCTTGAGATAGGGAAGACAGAAAGAGTCACAGCAAAACTCTCTATTTTGGGCCTTCATACAGTGAATTATTGTTGCTGCAAATCTTCTCCAGACCAGCTGAACACTGAGGGCTGAGTCTGATACCCACAGGTGCACTGACAACTTTATTTTCTTCTTAGTTTGTGAATTCCATCAGTATCCAGAGAAAGCCAGGCTTTGCAGCCAGAGGTGATTCTTTTTAATGAAAAATATGAAAAATAGATACCTGTATTGGAGAAATCAGTGGAGAACCTTGGAAACTTGGTTTTGAATTCAAGGAAAAAAGGCAAACTGTCCGGATGAAATACGAGAATATGGAATTTATTTCCCCCATAGATTTATTTTCTTACCATTAATGAGTATAAATGTACATTTAATGCCTGGAAGAGGAATGGGATGGAGCTGCTGGAGGCACTGGAAGCAGAGCTGGCTCACAACAGTTGCATCTGTCATGCAGCAGGAATGCCTGCAGTGGAACCTGCTCTCCAGATAGAGCTGTTTCAAATCAGGCCTATCAGCATAAAATGTCAGCTCAAATTCATCAGAGGCAGGAGAAAAACAAAACATTCTGATCCAGGTGAAACTCGAGCTGCTCTCTGATGGCTCCCAGCTCTCTCTGGTGCTGCAGAATGGCAATGCTGAAATTCCCCTGCTGCTGGAAGTCCTGCTGCTCCTCCCAGGTTCCCTTTCAGGGCTGGGATTGTGTTTCCTGCAGCTCCAGGTGCTTCCTAAGCAGCTCCAGGGGCTCCCCAAAGCCCCTCTGGGCTCTACCAGCACGATTTGCCATCAGCAGGGAGGGATGGAACAGGAATTTGTGCAGAGGGTTGGACCAGGAATTCTCCATCATGTCCCAGGGCTCAGGATGGCCACTCCTGATCCCTCAGTGGCTGTTTGGCACAGGTTGGTGCACAAATGAGCTTAGGCTTTGTGGAAATCTGATCATTTGCTTTGTAATAAGGTCCCATTCATTCAAATCAACTCCATAGCACAATGGCAGCACTTTGGGAACTCTGGAGGTGTGTAGTCACCACTGGGCTTATTTAATTTGTTGTGGAACTGCTGATTAAATTTTACATTAAGGAAGAAGCACCTTGTTTTAAATACAAACCCTTTTTTTTAAAAGTGGCTCACAGACTTGCCTGTTCCTTTTCTTGGCTAATTAAGAGCCACACTGCAGACATTAGAAAGAAACACAAAACTACAGAAAAATCACATCTGTGTACTGGGAAAAGGTATTTTGGGGCACTTGCTTCTTCCAGAAATGTTTGCAGGAGATAACAAGCAGGGTTTGGGACAAGTCAGCCTTGATTTAGGGTTTACCAAAGCACCAGCCATGGTGAGAGGCAGAGATCCTTGCTGCTGTCTGGTGTTAGATGTGCTCACAAGGTAGGGCCCATCCACTGACTCACAAATGGACTCTGGACATACTGGAAATTAGGGAAAATAGCAAAATTCCTGATCATAAAAAGAACTGGACAGCATTAAGGGGCTGCCCTACTGGGACAAGGCCTCTCTGGGTGGAATAAGCTTTGGCCTTCAAATGATTGTGATGATATTTTTCCTACAGTTTAACAGGAGAAATGGGAGTGCAATTAATTAAATTTATGCTGGAATAGACCTTTTAATCCCAATTGAGGCCCTGCTGTGTGCACACAGGAGCTGTGCAAGGCAGTGGGACAGATGGGGACAGCGAAGGGTCACGAGCCATGACCACAACCCCTGCAAATCCAAAGAGCTGCCAGTCCTGGCCCTGCTGAGGAAGGCACCTCCCCACTCCTTAGCCGTGCATCTGAGAGCCAATCCATCCACTGGCTCACAAATGGACTCCGGATATACTGGAAATTAGGGAAAATAGCAAAGTGTTGGCATTCC